AAGACAATGAAACCGTTTGTAGTGAACTTACACTCCATTTACGAACCGCAGAAAACTAATACGGGATCGACTGAAAAACTGCTGCTGCTGCTGCTGCTGGATCCTGATCTTTGTTATTCAGTGGAATTCTAAGGGATCATAGCAATGTAGCGGCTATAGTCGAAGCTATTTTGTCGTAAGATAGCAATTTCAAAAATTCGACTGATGTTGAAAAACCAAAGAGATGTGACATTAAGAAACTCGAAACGAAGGTTTTGAGTCAACGTGGCTCGATTTCTCTATTTTTATAGTTATAAAAGACTGAAATGGGGATTTTGGGTCCTCCCTTCTCACAGATCATCAAAAACGAGCTTACCATACTATGCACGCCGTTCTCGATCAAAAAACCGTTGTGATCCATGAGGTATACACGACCCAGAGCGGTTCCCACAGCAAGGAACTACGATCCAGATAGGCGCAGTTTTATCAATGAAAAAGTGGAACAGGAACCAGTGAGATGTATGATGTGGCAATTAAGATCAGTTTTCAATTTCAATCGCTGTGAGAATAACATTGATAGCAAGAAAAAGATTATGTGGTCTGTTAAGGATTCACGCGGTATGGAGGCATAAGACTTGCGGCGACATAGACAGTTAAAAATTAACCCCAAAACCGCCAAGAACAGAGCTCCTTGATTTGCGCTGATTGACAATCTGCCAACGGGTTGCATTTGTCTGAAACAGGTACTGTTTTAGTTTTTGAGAAAGATAGTAAAAGATCAATCGTGTTGTGAAAATTAATACGATACAACGCGACGTAGAAGATAACAAAATAGAACGAATGAATACAGAGCTGCTCTGGTATTTAAACAGATGATGTAACAACAAACGTTAAAAATGCCACTAACGGAAGGGTATAGAACTAACTTTGCCATGTGTAGCACAGAAAGTGATATAGTCATTCGAGACAATCGAATCCATTTCGTGTTCCATGTGTTGATACTTCAAATAGGGTTCCGATGGTGAGTTCTCCGTTTCCGGTTCTTTGTCTCCTTCATCCACTTCAAAGTCCTCAGCTAATTCGGCCACCTCGATTTCGTCCATTGATAATTTAGCTAAGGAAAAAAAGACGAAATGCCATTAGTGATGCCGAGAGAAATCCGATAGAATTGAAATGAATCCCCACAAAATTGAAATGCCTAATACTGAAAACCGTACAGTGAGATTTTCTTTATCCTTTCGTAAACCTTGGGTAGAGCTTAGGCATCCAGGAGTGTGGAGCGACTGACAGTCCAAATTCAGCCGACTAATATTCTCGGTTTTTCGCGCCCTTGATAGTAACAGGCACTTGTGAACGCCAAAGCGGATGCCAGTGGTTTATGATACCATAATGCGGCATTTTTGCGGTTTCATTTTGAGAAACAGCTCGGCAGAAGACAAACGCCTCCAAGATCTTGTTACGATTAGGAAGCAATCAGGCGTAAGACCGTTAAATACTGGAGACTATTCAATATTTACAGTGGCAACATTGCACAAAGAAAATAAACCTTTGGCTTCATAGAAGGGGAGTTCTACTTTAGAGTGTAGTTGAAGACAATTGTATTCAAGGACATCTGAACATAGGTTATCCAACACAGAGTTCAATATTTGTATAACGACGATTCCCGTACAGTAAACTAACAAAGCGATGTTCGTGGGTTAAACTGGTAAGGTTCTTCGAAGCCATAGATACAACACCTCGAGAGTTTTCGATCTTCCACAGCGTTTGATAAGAAACCAGTCCGTGTCAATGAAAGGCTCGATTTACAAAAACTTGGATAACTGTATTGGACGGACATGATGACGGATATCAGAGGGCAGGCGACGATCAATCGACAAACCTGAAGTTGACCTTTTTCCGTAAGATTTACAGACAGCATCTTTAGCTGGAAATCTGAAACCAGGGTGCTTGGAATACTCACAGAAAAAGTAGCAGCTACATTGTTTTATGTGGATTAGGTTGGCAGAGTCTCAACTTCGATTTAGACTACGGTTTGGGTTTAGTAACTACAGCTGTGTATGCGGAATCGATTGGATGAAAAACTTTGGATTGTTGATGTGCCATTTCTAGTGTTTTTGGTTGTTTGCAGACTGTTCTTAGGTCAAGTGTCCGGTTTTCCGAGAATCGCTGAAGGATGCTGCGTTCCTATTATGAAAGCGCCTCGTATAGCGTTGTTTTGGTTTTGTTCGGCCGTGACGGCTTTGAATTTAGTCTTTTGCGAGTGGTTTCAGCTTCTGCACAAACTGATCGAGACGGTAACCTGCATTCTGTAAACTCGTCGAAAATTGGTATCGAGAACAACTCGCTTTTTTGGGTTTCATATAGCGTGGAAAGTGACGGCGAAGCAGTGGATGGGATTAGAGGTTTGGAAAAGTGACCACCTAGTGATAAAAGTGACTCTCAATGCAAGGAAATCCAAAGCGCTTAGCCGGAAAATCAGGAACTTCAGCAGAATGGATATAAGTAGCCTGCAGGCATGAGCTTTAACTCTAGAATGGGGAGCAGATAATGATCGGCTTACAGTCGAGGCTCTCTAGTATAAAATCAAGAGTAACCTACAGGAACTTCAGGAGGAGTTCGCCCCTCCTAAAATAGGGAAAGCTTGAAATAAGCCCCTATGGTGATCTCCGGCAATAAAGAGATCACTAAGGAAAAAAAACAGATGCTGGAGGCACTACAGAGAGATCAACATCCAGCTGGCGTGGACGAACTATAAGGTCCAAAGAAATAGGACAGTCAGTCTCATAGGAGTAGAAAAGAGCAAATATGAACCCAAGTTAGCGGAAAATGTAAAGCAGAAACAGAAACGGTTTTTCCGATATGTTCAATCGAAAAGAAACTTGAGGGACGCCATAGGTGCCTT